AAGAAAAAAGCGGGCAGCAGAAAAGAGACTTCTACTGGTTTAACATTAAATATACCGGAGCTGGAGAGGGCGTGGCTTATACTTTGCTTGAGCTTGGCAAATGCTACGCTTTTTCAGGGATACTGCCGTTCCGGGATAAATCGATAATCGCATCCTATGCATTGTCCAAATGGAGTACGCATCCACGCCCTCCGCATCTCTGACATAACAGTATCAGCATTATGTGAGCGTACTGAGAGCAGGCATTGAACGTACAAAGGAGAAACAGAGACTGTATGAGAGAGTGCACAGATGAAAGGGACCGTTTCCTACGCCTATTCCTTTCTTTCGTCTCACTTCTCCCACTTCATGGATAATTCAATACCGTCCGAGATTGCAGGTCGCGCCAATTTGTCTGCACGTTGGGTCATTGCGGACTGTGTCGTCAGCAAATGTGAGTGGGCGTTCATACTTTTCGGCTAGAGAGAATCAGGTGTGAGCGAAAAGAAAGTTGAGCAACGCCGATCGATATCTGTACCTTTTGTTTTGCGCATTCTCTGTGAACGCCGGACCTAACCGCAAAGTATAAACGCAAGTTGAATCTGTCGACGAGAACCAGAGGCGTTTCCTCATCACGACGTAGGGACAACCTTCGGGGAGAGAGGAAGGAGGAGGGAAGAAAAAAGAAGGAACGATGAAAGGAAAAACGAGACAAGAAGGAGGAATGTCGAACAATCGTTTCCTTACTGAAAACTTGAATGAAGCCCTCTAAGTGCTTCGAATGAAGGGAAGACCTCGCCATGCCTTCTAACTTTGCTGATGTGTGAGGTGAAAGTAAAAGTACAAGACTCACCACGCTTTGAACTATAGTCGTCTTTTCTTCCGTGATAGTCGCGACGTTTATGGTAGTCGTCTACTGGACCGTAATCGCGACGTTTTGTGACAATACGCTCGTTATAGGTGCGTGTCTCCTCTTCAATATATTCCTCTTCCACCTCGTCCTCGTCCTCTTCGTACAATTCAGTACGATACTCGGACGAGTACTCTCGCTCCCGCTGATCCTGAAACAGTTGAACTGTTAGATTTTGTGGCGAGATAGGGTCGTACAGTAATTGCAAGGCAATAATCACATAAAGCTCTAATATTAGTACAACAATGAAGAAGAAATGCCAAGAATATAAAAGCTTTCAAACATAGAAAGAAGAAAAACAGAGTAATCAATTCTGAATCGGTGAAGAATCAGTTGCATAGGAATCCAGCTATCTTTGCGAAAAGTCGAAAGCTGTTCTTATCACCACCCTCCCCCCTCTAACAACTATCAAGCAGGTTCTTTAGAGCTTCAACAGGCAAAAGCGTTACAGAAAGTTTACTTTGGCAATGGAGCACGAGATAGAGTTAGCGCGCGCGCCAACCTTCCTCGAATTCTCAGAGTTAGCGCGCGCCAACCTTTCTCGAATTCTCGAACATATCTGGGGCCGTATGCTATATATCCCCTCGAAAGAAAATTCCCCTCTGGGAAGATACCCTAGAGGCACGACGATAGTGAGTGTAACTGCACTTCTTTCAGGATGGCAGAATTGATGTGAATATATGAAATGTGAAGTATTGCATAAAACTCGGCGCTAACCTAGGACGGGGGGGGGGAGGAGGGAGGGACTACTCGCTAGCACCTCCGTATCCCTTCCTCTAATCAAGGCTTAGGCTTAGTAAAAGTGTATGCCTTCTTTGCTGGACTTTGTCTCAGCAACTTGGTGTCGTCTGCGCTCTAAGCCTGAACCGTTTTGGGGGAAGGGATGCAAAGGTTCGCTCATTTGCCCCCTCCCCCTTCAACTGCGTGAGCGTCTTGAACCCGGCGCACAGTAGCAGAGCATCTAAGGAGGGGACTACTCCACAGCGTCTCTGCGTCTCTTCCCCAAATAGCGCTCTAATTGAGAGCCCAGACGGTCAGAGTCACCACCAGTCAATGTTGCAGAACAGGCACTCTCTATGCAACTCCATATAAGGTTTAGCTAGAGGGTGGGGGGGGGGGAGGGGTTGGGAGGGGATGCAGAGGCTTCACGAAACTTCTACGAAAGTTTTGCCATTGAGCGGGAACGGGGGGAGGGGGTAGACACGTCCGATTGAAAGTAGTCGTTTTGGCTCGCCGCCAAGCAGTGCAGGGGTACTCAGCGCGCGTAAAACTGAAAAAATCAACGATGCGAAAAATGTTACTGAGGCCCTTTATGGCTCCTTCCCCAGCTGCCCGAATATGATCTCTCTCAATGAAATGCCTGAAACCATCAGCCACTGGTCATAGAATGCTCTAGGGAGGAGGGCGCAGACCAGAGCAAAATTTTATGTGGTCTAAGGAAAAATGACTAACAAGTGTAGGCAGTCGTGCGGGGCACGTTTTGCCGTTGGGGGAGAATTTTTGCAAAATACGACCTAGATCGAGAGTCCCTCATCTGACACGACTCCTCTTCCTCATCCCCATCCTACGTACAATTTTTCTGGATTTTTCCAACTTTTGACCACTTTTCTAGAGCTTCCTCTCAAAAATTTCCCTTTCTTTCTTTTCCTTTCCTATCTCTCACTTTCCTTCTCATTTTTTCCAAAAAAACTTGCGAAGGAGGTCTTCACCGATACCAGAATCTCAGTTGTCAGAAACAAGAAGTGTAGCGCTTTTGAGGGGGAAAGTTGAGAAAGGGGGATATCTTGCGAAGATGAGAGGGGAAAATCCGAGAAAAGTCGACAACAAAAGCATATTTTTCAAAGGCAAGTACGCCCCCCTCCCAGCGACCAAATACGACTCTCCTCGCTGGGAGTCCTAACGTGCGACGTGCTCTTGACAATTATTCTGTAGCCCTATCCATGCTATTTACGTCCCATTCGCCAGCATTAACTATATGGGAGGGAATGGCGCTTTGCAAAATATTACCACAGAGAGCGAATGTGAGCGAGGAGACGATGTCCATTACTGCAAATGGAATATTGCCGGACTGATCTCGACTGAACGCAACGCAGCACGGCTGCCATAGCTGACATTCAATTTGCACACTAATGAACATTTGATCGGCCCAACCGCAGATAGATGGCCAATATTCCTGGGATACGCCAAGCAGTCGGCTCTTGTTAGCATTGCAAATGGCTCTCGCCATCC